TGGGGTGGCACTGGGATGGCACTGGGAGTCAGTGGGCCATACTGGGAGGCACTGAGATGGCACTGGGACATACTGGGATGGCACTGGGAGGCACTGGGATGGAACTGGGAGGGAACTGGGCAGGAACTGGGAGGGAACTGGGATTTTCAGGAGTGGAGGAAGCGGTTGAAGGCGTTGTAGGCAGATTCCAAATCAAACAACATCTGCCTCACTTGGGAATCGTCCAGCTCGTCCGACGCCGACATCCCGCTCAGGGTCTGCAGCCTGGGAGGGGAAAAGGGGGGGGTTTAGGTTCCCAAACCCCCAAAATTCATCCCAGTACCCCAAAATTCATCCCAGTACCCCCCCCACACCCCCCAGTCATCGCTCACCACTGGTTGACTTTCTGCCTCCCCTCGAAGTCGGGGGGCAGGTGGCTCATGCGGTTCATGGTCTCCATCAGCTCCCGGAGATCGGGTTGGATCTGGGGGAGAGAAGGGATTTTTGGGGGATTTTGGGGGGTTTTGGGGGGACTCACGGCACCGGTGTCGCCAAAATAAGGCTGGGGGGGGAGATGGGGGCGATGGGGAGGATTTGGGGGGTCCCCCAAGCCCACCTCGTCCATGGCGCGGATCTCCAGGCGCAGCTTGTCCATCACCGTGATGAAGAGCTGGGAGAGGAGGAAGGGTTGGGGTGAGCGGGAGCCTTCCCCACCCCAAAACCACCCAAACTCACCCCAAAACCACCAGAACTGCCCCCAAACCACCAGAACTGCCCCAAAACTGCCCCCAAACCACCAGAACTGCTCCAAAACCAATGAAAAATTGTGCCAAAACTGCCCCCACAACCACTAGAACTGCCCCAAAACTGCCCCCAAAACCTACAGAAACTGCCCCCAAAACCTACAGAAACTGACCCAAAACCTACAGAAACTGACCCCAAAAACTACAGAAACTAACCCCAAAAACTACAAGAACTGACCCCAAACCATCAAAATTGCTCCAAAACCCACCAAAACTGCCCTGAAAACTGCCCCCAAACGACCAGAACTGACCCAAAAATGCCCCAAAACCACCCAAACTGCCCCAAACCCACCAGAACTGCCCCAAAATGCCCCTAAAACCAGCAGAACTGACCCCAAACCAGCAGAACTGACCCCAAAACTGCTCCCACAACCACTGAAACTGCCCCAAAACCACCCAAACTGCCCCCAAACTGCCCCTAAAACCACCAGAACTGCCCCCAAACTGCCCCCAAACCACCAGAACTGCCCCCAAAGCCAATAGAACTGCCCCAAAACTGATGAAAAATTGCCCCAAATCTGCCCCCACAACCACCGAAACTGCCCCAAAACCACCCAAACTGCCCCTAAAACCACCAGAACTGACCCCAAACTGCCCCCAAACCACCAGAACTGCCTGAAAACTACCCCAAAACCACCAAAACTGCCCCAAAAACTACCCCAAAACCACTAGAACTGCCCCCCAAACCACTGAAACTGACCCAAAACTGCCCCCTAAACCACCCACTGCCTCCCAAAACCACCAACCCTGCCCCCAGAACTGCCCCAAAACCACTGAAACTGACCCAAAACTTGCCCCCATACCCCCAAAACTGCTGTAAAAACACTCAAACTGCCCCCCAAGCCACCAAACCCTGCCCCAAAACCACCCCAAACAGCCCCAAAACCACAAAAACTGCCCCCAAACCCCCCAAACTGCCCCAAAACTATTAAAACAACCCCCCAAACTGCCCCCAAAACGACCCAAACTGCCCCCAAACCACCAAACCCTCTCCAGAACTGCCCCTGAAACCACCAAAACTGCCCCCAAACCCCTCAAATTGCCCCAAAACCACCAATCCCCC